GTTAGTACATTTGTAGTTATTGACATTTTATTGTTCATTTTCTTTATCCTTTTTTCTTCTCAAGAAATCCCTTTAACATTTCTTAAAATACTGGCTTGGGGGTTATAACTCCTTTAACTTTTTCTCATCTGGGAAGCTCTTTATCCTTCTATTCTAAATGATTGCTGGGTAGAGTGATCTTGGTTGTAGGTCCTTGCTTTTCATCACTTTGAATATTTCATGCCAATCTCTCCTGGCCTACAAAGTTTTTGTTGACAAATCAGCTGACAGTCTTATGGTAGCTCCCTTTTAAGTAACCAACAGCTTTTCCCTTGCTGCTTTAAGATTTCCTCTTTGTCTTTAACCATTGGCATTTTAACTACAATGTGTCTTGGTTTGGACCTCTTTGGGTTAATCTTGTCTGAGATTCTCTGTGCTTCCTGGACTTAAATGTCTATTTCCTTCACCAGGTTAGGGAATTTTCAGTTATTATTTCTTCAAATAAGTGTCAATTCCTCTCTCTCTCTCCTCTCTCTCTCTCTCTCTTCTCCTTCTGGTAGCCCTAAGATGCAAATGTTGGTATGCTTGATGTTGTCCCATACGCTCCTCAAACTATCCTCTTTTTGCTGTTCTAACTGAGTATGTTCTACTACCTTATCTTCCAAATTGCTGTTTCGATACCCTGCTTCATCTAAGCTACTATTGATTTCCTCTAACATACTCTTCATTTCAGTTATTGTAGTCTTCCTGTCTAACTTGATCTCTTTTATGGGGTTTTTTTTCCAGCTTTCATTTATTTATTCAGAAAGTGATTCAAGTATAAAATGAAAGCATTTTTAGCATTTAAAATGTTAAATGGAAATAAAGATTTCCAAACATTTGGAAATCTTTAAATCTTTATTTCCTGCAGTTTTGTTTATTACAATTTTCATAACCCAGCAGAGATTCTAGCTGAAGTTTTTCAAGCATTGAAAACTTCATGATAGTTTTGGCCATGGTTGGATACCTCTGGTTAGTTCTTTTTCTGGAGTTTCGTTCTTTCCTTTCTTTTGAGATATGTTTCTTTGTCTCCACATTTTAGCTGCCTCCTTGTGTTTGTTTCCATATATTAGGCAGAGCTGCTATGTTTCCCGTTGGTGGTAGAGTGGCCTTAACTAGTAGGTGTTCTGTGGGCCATGATGGCACAATCTCTTGGTCCCCTGAGCTGGGTGTTCCAGGTGTGTCTTCCTGTCATAGTTGAGCCTTGATTGTTGCTGACACATTAATGAGAAATATTACCCTTAGGGTAACTGGCTGTGAGGGCCACTGGCTGTGATGACTGCCCACAACTACAGTGGAGGAGCTTTTGAGCAGGGGCTGACACTACAAAGCAGGATTCACTTTAGCAGGGCTCTGGTGGAAGTGGTTAATTGGTGGTCTGAAGCTGTCCAGAGTGAGTGCTGGCTGTGGGAGCTCCCAGCAGGTGTAAGCCAAGATCAGCCACTGCATGTGCTATGCCCAGAGCCACCCAGAATGAGCTACAGAGTGCTCTGCAGATGGCTGCTACTTGTGCAGGATTTGGAGGTGCCCAGGAAAGGCCACCAAGCTGGGAACCAAGGCTGGCTGCCACTAGTGCCAGGCCTATGATCACTTAGTGAGAGGTACAGGGTATATCAGGTCAGATGCTGCTTGTTTGGGGTTTGTGAACCTTGAGAGATTTTAGGAAAGATAGAGCATGAGCTAAGGCAGGCCATTTGTAACACAAAAGCCACTGGAAATGGCGTGGGTGGGCCCGGGTCTCCGGGAATAACCAGGGTAAGGTGAACAGAGTTAGCCAGGCTAATGGAGTCTCAGATACGGCACCCTTCTGCCATCTGGGATCAAAAGCAGGGGGTGCTCAGCAAAGGAATAATGGCTTCTGACAACACTTCTATCTGTAAGAAAGCTGACCCTCCAGAGTTCACCCTAAAGCTAGGGAATTTAATTCCTCCTATATGCCCCTGGTGCCTTTTAAGCTGCTGCACCAGTGCCCCACCGTCATGTACCACTAACGTTCCATCTGGCTGATGATAAATTCTCCCAAAATAGGGTCTTCTGGAAGTAAACATCTTGAAGTTCAGTTTCAAAAGGCTTAATACTGTATTCTACAGGTCAAGTCAAACTTCTTTTTTAAACAACTGGTAGGGCTCCTTCAGGCATTGTCTTCCTGGTAAATAACATATTCATGCATGCAGCTAAATCAAACCATAAACACTACTTCCCATCGCCCCTCATAGCCAATCCTCATGAAATTCTATTTTCTCCAAAATAAATCTCATCCCCTTCTTTCCAAAACCATTTCCACTTTAGTTGTGCATTATCCCTCTCCTGGATTACTGCAGTAGCATGTTCACTCCTAATCTTTCACATTGTCTCTACAGCCATAAGCCAGAGTGTTTTAAAAATATAAACCTGATAATGTGACTCCCTGCTTAAAAGTATTCAATTGTTCCCAACATAATTAAAATAAAACCCCAAGCCCCTTATTATACCCCTGTATGGCCTGCTTCAGGGCTTCTCCCCAACCGCATTTCAGTTATTGTGCCCCTTAATCACCACACTCTAGCCACACTGGTCTTATTTTTGTTCCTCTAATCCACTAAGCTCTTTCCTATCTCAGGACTTCCAGATAACCTTCCGACCCTCTGGGACACCTGTTCACTTCCATTATCCTTCACCTGACTAACTCCTACTCATCTTTTACTTCATATCAGCATCAAGATTTTGTGTTTGCCTTCTTTACCTAGCACATTACTGATACCCATTAAGTAATCACTTCTATATTCTATTATCTGGAAAAACAAACAAACAACAACAACAAAAACCACAAAGGTTTATAGATTATACAAAGGAACCTAAATATATGTTTAAAGTGAGAAACCAAAGAGCATCCAAAAATTTTTAAATCTGAATGTTTTCAACCTGGCCAGGGTAGCTCACTTGGTTAGAGACTCTTCCTGATATGCAGATTTGATCCTTGGTCAGGGCAAGAATCAACCAATGAATGCATAAATAAGTGGAATGATTAACAGATTTCTCTCTCGCCTCTCTCTAAAATCAATCGATAATTTTTTTTTTTTTAAATCTGAATGCTTTCCAAAACCCATTTGCAAAACTATAAGAATTCTCAAGGAAAAAAATCTATCAAAATGTTACCATCTAAAAAGATTTTTAAGGGAACCAAGAACAAAACAGTGTTATAAGTGATTAGTCTTAAGAAGACAACTGAAAACTCTTGGAATCATTCTTCTCTGCCCCATCTTTTGCTTTAAGAAAACATGGGGAGAAAGCACAATCAAAATTTTAACTGCAAGCAATCAATAACTTGAAAATACTTACTTATTTGTCATTTCTGGTCAAAAAAAGGAAAGCCTTCGTGGCAGATTACTGAAATGCTTACATCACGTATTGGTTAAAATCCACTTAAAGGGAAAGAAAGGATAGGGGACCGAAGGCGGAAAGATAGAAAGACTATTACTTGCTTCCTTTACACTTACGGCAATGATCTTCCCCGACCCAACCTCCACCCCTGGAAGTCGGGCACTGAACAATGCCTGATAAATTCTCTAGCAAATATTCCACGCAATCAACCTGACAAGCCTAGGTCTCCATCAGGCTCTGCTTCACCGTCACGCCTCTGTCTCACCGTCAGTGAGCCCATTACTTTCAGCGCTGCCCCTGATCCTTTCTCCCCGCTAGAATTCGTGTCGGTCTATTGGTTTCCCTCCAAGGACCCCTTACGCGAAACCCCTTCCAAGAAAAGTAAATGGCAAACAGCCTTGGGCCGTGGGGAGAAAAGGGAGGTTGGGGGGGTGGGGTGGGGGGAGAAATACGGACTGGATGCCGGGACTCACCTGGGGCTGCACAGTGCTCGAAAGGGAAAACATCTCCTCCGGGACCTCAGCGACCTGACCCGCCTGCTGAAACTGCCCTTCCCGTCCAGGCAGGGAGGCGCTGAGCCCTTTATTGCCTTCCTTTTTCTCCCTCCCCTTTCCCGCAATCTTCCTAGAAATAGAAAATGGCCTCCCCTTTCTATAGCTGCTGCAGGGACAATCTGCCCCGGAAAGCAAAGCTCTAAAGCAACAGTACTTCCGGGGCAGGGGAGCGCCTCCAGCCCCTGCTGGTACCAGCGCTCAACCTTTTCCAGCGGCTTTCCTGCCTGCGGTGCTGCCCTCCAAAGTCGTTGATGTTCACATTGAATAGTGCACTTCCTGACCCCCAAAGATTTCTGCCTGTGTTTTTCCTTTTTTTACACCCCGGGCATCCACCCTATTAAACCTTTTCACAGCTTCCTTATGCAATGTATTGTTACGACTGGAACAGAATAAGCTGTAAGGTCTTTTGTTACAAGTTAGTGTTCTTTATCTTCCTCACAATAAGTAGAAAATTCTTACTCTTGAGCCTGATCTGTTTCAATCAGGCATATTACAGCCTGTTAAAATGTCAGATTACAGGGGCACCACCACTTCCTGCTCTTCCAGTTTCGCCACAACTACGATTTCACTAACCACCATTTTCCTGAACAAATCCAACCGGTTTATATTTAGTCGGAGGGCAGAGGGTGGGTAGGAGAAAGTCATGAAGAAGTTAAAAAAAAAAAATGCGGGAGGAAGGGTCCCAACAGTCTCCTTTGAAGGTCGGGTGTAAACTCTTCAAATCCTCTGATTCAGATTCCGGTCCCCGGTGTCCCCCTTTTTTTTTCCCCTTGGTTAGCGGGACCGCCTACCCACCCCCCCCGCCCCATTACAAATAAAGTGGGTAGTAGTCACTGCCCTCGAAGAGTGTGTGGTTGGTTGGAGAATTTCCCAGAGTCCCCACCCTCACGCCCATTGGGCCCTTCGGGGCAGCGCTGCTTCGAGATCAGGGAGCGCGGCGACGGGGTGACGTCACTGCCTGCGGGAGGGGTGGGCGGAGCCTTACTTTGAACCTAGTTGGCGGGAGTTGCGGCTGGGAAAGGGGTATAGGTGGCTGCTGCTTGAGGGTTCAATCTTGGCTCGCCTGCAATGGAGCCCACCGCGGGGAGCGAAAAGGAGAGTGGACCAGGCGCGGCTGCAGGGAAATGTGTGAGTAGGATCTCAGTGCCAAGACCTCCCTCCATTGAGGAATTCACCATAGTGAAGCCGATTAGCCGTGGCGCCTTCGGGAAGGTGTATCTGGGACAGAAAGGCGGCAAATTGTATGCGGTGAAGGTAAGAAGTCAAGGACTAAAGCAAGGGAAGAAGGCCAGCCCTTCGTCCCTTCTTTTTGTCCCGTGAATTGGTCAGACCCCAGGGCTGCTGGAGCAACTAGACTGGGTGGCCTGACTTGCTGACGCCTGCATAGCCCTGCAAGCTGACTTCTCACTTTGGGAGATACTTCAGCGAGGGCAAGTCGGTTGTTTCTCCTCTGCCACGCCCTTCTCTTCACACTGCGAGTGCTATAGAGACACCAGAACACACCAGAACACACCAGAACTTTTGAATCCTTTATATTGATTTGGCCTTTATGAGGATTAAGTTTGAAACTTTAAATTTGAACGTTATTTTCCGAATTATGTTTTAATTCCATCAATTTGATGTGGATTAATTTCTGACATATAAATCAAAGGATCTTATTAAGCAACCTCATTTTTCTTCTTCAAACATTCCATTATAAATCTAGAGTGTGTTTTTATTTAAAGACTAAACTGAAATATGTCCTAAATCAGCCTTTTATCCTTGCAGCAATATATAGTATTCCAAAATCATTCAAGAGCTTTCAATGTATTTGAAGCTGTTCTGGCCATTCTTGGTTATCCACTCTCTCATAGTTTCATATTACTCACAGTTCAGCAATTAGTGAAAGTGATGAAGGGAAAAGCCAGCAGTCTGAATAGTGGGAGACTTCAGCTGTCTGTTGGACATTGTTATGTAAATGGTAGCAGGCACCTCCATGTTGTACTTACCTAACCTAGACCAGTCACCTCCATCTAACTGCCTAAACTCTGAGCCTTCTGCATTCCCTTTCCATTTAATACTACCACCATCATCTTTGTCATAACCTGAGTCATTTAACTTTCCTCTCCTTCATCTGTGTATCCTATCTTCTTAACAAGTCTTGCCAAGTCTGTCTCATTTTTTTTTATTTTATTTATTTTCAGACAGAGGGGAAGGGAGGGAGGAAGAGGGAAACATCAAAGTGTGGTTGCCTCTTGAGCGCCCCCAACTGGGTACCTGGCCTGCAACCCAGGCATGTGCTCTGACTGGGAATCAAACTGGTGACCCTTTGGTTCGCAGGTAGGCACTCAATCCCCTGAGCGACACCAGTCAGGGCTCTCTCTATTCTAATCACTCCTTCCATTTCATTCCCAAGTCTGCCCAAGTGTAGCTCTTCATTTTATCTTCCTCCTCTAATTCATTCATTCTTCCTTCCTTCCTTCCTTCTTAGAAGTACAATTTGGTTTTTTAGTAAATTAAAGATTGGGTAATCACCACCACAATCCAATTTTAAAACATTTCTATCACCCCAAAAAGATCTCTTCTTCCCATCTGCAATGCCTCCCCCGCTTTTACACCTCTGGTCCCAGGTAACCACCAATGTACTTTCTATAGGTTTGTCTTTTCTGGACCCTGTACATAAATAGAATCATACAATATATTGTCTTTGGTCTTTGTTCACTTGACATGATGTTTTGGAGGTTCATCAGGCCTTAATTTCAATGCCTAGTCTACTGGAATAGCCCCCTAACCGGAATCACTATTTCATTTTTTCATCCATTCCTTAAGCTATGACATACAAGCTGAAGTCCAAACTCCTTAGAAAAGCATTCATAAAAAGAGGGAGGGAAGAAGAGAGGGAGGGAGGGAGAACATTCATGCTTCATTCTGACTCTAAACTTGAGAGAGAGAGAGAGAGAACATTCATGCTTCATTCTGACTAAACCTTCCTGTATCTTCCACATATCTTGTGTTCTAGCCACTCCAGACAATTGACTAGGCTCTGAATTCTGCATATTGCCCTTCTGAGCTTGTGTTTATGCTCCTTAAGTGCTTTTCTTCTACCCTTCTCTGCTCTTCTCCGCCTGTGTTATTTATGTATATTAAGGTTTATCTTAGCTCACCTTGAAACCTTCCCTGACCTTTCAGACCCATCCCATTGAAATTAACTCTTCCTTGCTTCATATGTTCCCAAAATGTTTTGCTTTTCCTTCTACTCTGCTTACTAATCAGTCATTAGCTGTTGAAATGAAAACACCAAATCATTTTTTAGTATTTCTTTTGAGCATCTCCTTTGTTTCTAAGATCTGGGCTACAGTGAACAAAACAAACCTGCCTTCAGAGAGTTTCCGATCTAATGGAATGATAGGTGAAATCATGTTATAAACTGGCTTTGTCAGTGGCTCTCAGTTTCCTTATGGAAAGGGAATAAGGCTGGGATTTACAGTGTATTCATGATTTTATTAAATACTATAATGAATCTTTGGAAAAATATGCCTTTTTCTCCTTGAGATAGTCCTGAGACTTGATCTCAAAGTTATTGACTATTCAGTTAGGGCTCTGCCTTTAATAGTTTTGATTCTGTACCAATTACCTTGAAACTTGAAAAGAGTAGTCAGTTATTTTCTATGAGACAGCACTTGACACTGTTTCAATAGTTCTAACCATTCTTAAAATTTTATTTTCTAGGCAAACTTTCTCTTTATGATTCCATTTCCATCCATCAATGAATCAGAATTTATACATACACACACACGTATATACATATGTGTGTATTTCTCTGTGTCTAGGTTCCCGGTTATCTGCAAGCCATTAGGGATGTTACTATCTTTTGACTTTGTTTTAAGAAGAGCAGAACAGAATCTTTTTTCCCTACTAATATACAGGGCAGTCAGGAAGCATTTGTTTTACTTCTTTTTCCTCCTCAAAAGGGATGTGATACTTTTGACACTTGATATCAAGATAAGCAATTCTCTTTAAAAAGTTCGGTTTTTATTTTTTCCATGTTAGTTGTTTTTCTAGCAGTTTCCTGATTGCAACATGAAATCCAAATGATATCTCTGTGTTGTCTTCCTCTGGTTGTTTCATGATGGTAATTTCAACCCTGAGAATAATTTGTAATAAAAAAGTAAAACTGAATGTCTCTTGTCATGTTACCTACTGTAGGTTGTCAAAAAAGCAGATATGATCAACAAAAACATGACTCATCAGGTACAAGCTGAGAGGGATGCACTGGCCCTAAGCAAAAGTCCTTTCATTGTCCATTTGTACTATTCACTGCAGTCAGCGAACAATATCTACTTGGTGAGTAAACGATCTTACTTTTCTGTCTTCAATCAGCAGTCACTGAACCCAGTGACTTAAGAGTCCAGTCTCTGGCCTCAAAGTACTTGGATTTAAATTCCAGCTCTTGCACTTACTAGCTTTAGGATCTTGGCCAGTTATATTACCTGTTCTGTTAGTCAGTCTTCTCCGAAGAAAAAGAACTAATAGTGCATATGTGTGTGTTTGTAGTGGGGGATTTATTTTAAGGAATTGCCCTTAGTGATTATACAGGCTAGCCAGTCTGAAATCTGCACTGCAGGCTGGCAGGCTGTAAATCCAGGAAAAAGTTGACATAGTAGCACCAATCCCAAAGCAATGTAGAGGCATAATTCTCTCTTCTTTCTGAGGTGGGGGGTGGCAGTTGCAGGTGAGAGACAACACTTCAGTCTCTTTTTTTTTCTTAAGGCCTTTAGCTAGTAGGATGAGGCCCAACCACGTTATTGAGGGTAATCACCTTTTACTCAAAGTCTGAAGATTTAAATGTTTATCTCATCTACAAAAATACCTTCATAGCAACATTTAGATTGGTATTTCACCAAATAATCTGAGTACCATGGTTTAGCCAAGTACATATAAAATTAGTTACAGTAATGTGTCGCTCATTTTGGTCAAGAGCAGCCCATGTATAGCATAGTGGTCCCATAAAATTTTAATAGAGCTGAGAAATTCCTATTTTTAGTGACGTCTTTACATTGTAGTGCAATGGATTACTCACGTGTTTGTGGTGATTCTGGTGTAAACAAACCTGCTACACTGCCAGTCATATAGAAGTGTAGCTCACATAATGTACAGTACATGATACTTGATGAGTGACTATATTACTGATTTATGTACTTACTATACTATACTTTTTTATCATTATTTCATTACTTTTACAATGTACTTTCTATTTACAGGGAAAAAAAAAAGCTTGTTGTAAAACAGTATGCCTTGATACTCTAGCAGTACTCTCATACATCTTGAGTGTAATGCCTCTCTTGGTCATGTCATTTTCTCTTCTGTATTCAATCTCATGTTGTTTTGTACAGGCTTGTAGCAATAGGCAATACAATATAACCCAGGTGTGTAGTGGGCTGTACCACTGGGTATGTGTAAGCGCACTCTGCGATGTTTGCGCAATGACAATGCATAGAGACATTTCTCAGAATGTATTCCCCTCATTAAATGACACATGTCTACGAAATGAGATAATAATAGTATCTACCTCAAAGGTTATGAACTTTTCGTAGGTTAATGTAAAGCACAAAGAACAGTGGGGCACATAGTGCTAAAATACTTGGTAAGAACAAAAATATGTAAAGTTTAGTGTATAATAAGAAAGATATTAAGAAGGAGTAGATTTTGGGTATATGTAGTTTGAGAGGTGCTTGCTCTTCATTTAAAGCAGCAGCTTGCACTCTATTAATTCTAATGAGGAATTGGAGGGGAGCAGTGAGGAAGAAGTAAGGATAGCACATGCTTTGACTACAAATGCTAGAGGGTCTTCTGACTTCAGAGACGGTCTGTGGATTAAATGTTTGGTAACTCAGGTAGCTTCTGTTTAGTATATACAAGTAGTTTTCTGTGAATGAATTGGACTTTAGAATGTCAGGTTTTAAACCTGGGAAATATGTTTATCAACAGAAGGATCGTTCTTTTCACAATTCGATTGTTCTTAAGAGTGCAAGCCCTTTATCCTTGATATGCTAAAGCTTTCTTGCAACTCAGTGGAACATATTTGTGCCACACTTCAACTTTTTGCTATACCTAAAACTTGAGATTAACAGAACTCTAATATTGAAGAACATGATATACAGCTTCAAGTTATAGACCTGAGCATTAGAATAGGTTATAAAATAGTCTGTTCTAAAACTCCGTTAGTACCTAAAGGTTAAATACATTTCTAATCTTTTAGTAAATCTGTGAGTATACTTAGACTGATGTTAAATATTACAAATGACAGTTGCTTAATGAATGTATAAAATATGATCATATTATAAATAGTATTCTACCTGTTTTTTCCATTTCGTGGTGACCTCATCCTTAATGAGTACATAAAATTACACAGATTTATTTATGAATTCTGTAATTTCCTTTAACTGGTTGGGTTTCGTTTTTGTTTTTGTTACTCACTATTCTAAACCACAGTCCAATGAACACCTTAGCATGCATTGCAATACCTGTTTGTGATGACCTCCTCTGTGGGAGATAAGACTGGGTAATGTTCGGGGGAAAGATACTGGAGTAAAGGTGCAACTTTGTATTGAAATTCACCCTCAGAGGAAGACCCCTAGGTTCTGAGAAGGCATGAGATGGGGGTCTACTTTTTAAGGATATTCACTTTTTGAGTGGGTTGAAAAAATACATGGTAGTAGTGAGGTGAAAACCAAAGAATAAGAATATTTTACTTTCCATCTTTTAAGCCAGTGGTTGGCAAGCTATGGGCCAAATCTGACCTGCTGTTTCTTTATAGCCTGTGAGCTAAGAATACATCTTCTGTTTTTTAAAATGTTGGGGAAGAATCTAAAGAAGAAGAAGAATTTGTGATACATGAAATTTATATAAAATTTGAATTTCAGTCAATAAGTAAAGTTTTATTGGAACACAAACAACCCTTCCTTTTGTTTACATATTGTTTATTCTCATGTAGCAACAGACCAGATATCCGTCAAAGCCTAAAAATATATACTATCTGGCTCTTTACAGAAAAGGAAGGGAATATCATATGTCATTTCCAAAGAAGGTAGGAAGCTACTTGATCCTTTAATTCTTATTGGGGCTCTGTCATACCTTTGACACGGCCTGTGTCCTATGCAGTGTGTGTGCCTTTCCCAGTGCCATGACTGGCAGCATCAACCCAGACTTAGCCCTATGGCAGCCAGGGGTTTCCACAACCCTAGTCTAAGAGTCGTGGTTGAAGGGCAGGATTTTTGGTGGATTTTTTTTCAATGCTGTGTCCTAAAATTGGTGAAATAAGTAAATAGCGATAATGTTTTTTTATTTTCTATTCCTGGAATTGAATAGAGGACCATAGCTGGTCTACTGACTTCATCACTGGTTTAGATCATTGATACTCAAAGTGTCATCCACAGACAAGCAATGTCACCGTCATGCAGGAGCTTAATAGAAATGCAGAATCTCAAGTCCCACTCCAAATCTGTTGAATCAGAATCTGAATTTCAACAAGATCCCAGACACATTAAAGTGTGAGAAGCAATGGTTTAGAGAAAAACGAAAGATTTTTCAGAAATGGGAAGCTACTTTGAGGAAAAAAAGATAAGGTATGACTGAACTTAGCCACAATAATAAAAAAATAATTGACTACTGTATGCCAGGTACTATGCTAGGAACAAGAACATAAAATGAAAACATTTATTATGGAAACATTTAAACATACACAGAAGTCAAAAGATTAACATGATAAACTAGATCAACCTTTCACGTAGTGGCTTTGATTCCTTTGAGTCATTACCAGGGCTCATTATTTTATTAAGGCTTGAAAACGATGGTTTGTACACTTTAATTATTGCTTCAGCTCTTAATAGCTGCAATTCTTTTATAAAGAACTTTCTCTTGTCATCCAGTTCTATAGTCTGAAATTTGCAGGGTATTATTTTGCATACAGATATTTTTCTTTCATTGCTAATTTTCAGAAGAGCTACTTCCAGATGTTTATAGTGTTACTTTTAGTTTTTATTAAGTATCTTTATGAATTCGTGAAATTTTATAGATTTATAATACATAGGTTTTATGTGTTTTTAATCCACTCTGATCATATTCAAATTGTACCATCTTTGGTTAGCGACAACCCCTTCGGTTAATCTGCCTTTTTATACTGTCCTAGTATCCTGATAGCTTGCTTTCTTTGTGGCATGACAGGATACCTACGGCTCATTTTGTAAATGTCCTGTACTAGACCTAGGCAAGGAAGTCTAGCTACTTTTATTGTGAAATAGTGTTTAGAGACCACAATCTAGGTGATAGTGAATAGTACCGTTCATTGCCACTAGGTGATCAGCCCCTATAGGCCTTTTCAGTGAACAGACAAGAGAACACATATTTTTATAAAAAGAGAAAAATGTCATGAATGCATGAATATTTTCAATTCAATAGAAGATTATAGTTTTTGCTTAACATTTTGAAAAATATATAAACTATAAAAATGTTTGGGAAAAATATGTATATTTTTTACACTGAGAATCTGAGATCCTAATAAAATTAACATAATTACCTATTTGCTTTATTTAACATACAATATATGTGTATCTAATATTTTCAAAATAACAATACCAATATTGTTTTACTAACACTAAAACAACTGGATTCATTTTAGGATTTCTTTGCAGGTTTGTTTTTTTTTGTCCTTGGAATATGCTTTCAAATTCTTTTTCCTTAAGTCACTTGAAATGATTCTCTGTGTGGGTATAAAACTTGATGTAGAGGTAGGTTCATTTGTTCCCCTTTCATATAAGAGCTTTCTACTTAAAAGGAGGAATCCTTAAACTAGAAAAAAACTGATATATTTTTATAATCATAGAATGGTGCAAGACACTAAGTACAACATAAAACTTACCATATTTTACTGTGTATAATGTGCTCCTGTATATAATGTGCACCCACATTTTTGGCCCAAACTTTCAGGAAAAAGTCTTTCATTTTTATTTTTTAATTCAGTTTTTTATTTATATATAAAGCCGATTCTAATATTGCAGGGTATTATTTTGCATACAGATATTGTTATTGCTTTCTAGAGTTAAACTTTTAACCCATAAAATAAATAAAAGAATTTAAAACAATTATGTAGATACTACCCATGTATAATTGTGCATCCTTATTTTTCCCTCAAAAACTTGGGCAAAAAAATTGTGCATTTTACATGGCAAAATACAGTACTTAAATTTTAAAACATGTGACAAAATACTATATACATAGTCAGATGACATGTTTGGAGAAAATTTTTATTATCCAGAAGACAGACAAAAGGCTAATTTTACTACTATGTAAACATATTTTACAAATCAATAAAAAAGAATACATACCCCAAAAGAAAATGAGCAAATAGAAGTAGTTCACAGGAGAAACACAATCTAAAGGCCAAAAACAGTATGAAAAGATGCTACATTTCCCTAAAAATAAACAAACGTTTAAACACATCCATCTTTACTTCCTTAGACTGACAAAGATAAAAGGGATTGGTAATCACTGTTGATGAGAATACAAGAAAATAAGCATCTCATACGCTCAGATACTTTATCTGTTTACTTATTTATTTCCCTCTATTGGATGATAAACTCATTAAGTGCAGTGACTACATTTTATTCGTGCATTATATTCCCAGCACTGGCACAGTATACAGGACAGATTCTGTGCTTCATCAATTTTTTTAATGATTGATTTCATCAACAAATACTAACTTCTATGTATCAGGGAAAATACTAACCTAAGGAGGAAAGAAATTACCTTGTTTTATTTACTTCTTAATAGGCATATTTTACAGCTATAGAAAACTATAGAAAATTTTATAATTTAAAACTAGTACATATAGAAGGAAAAACAGCTTTGCAACCACACACAGCAATTATGGAATCATCTGTCGTTACATAATGCTAAAATCATTGAATGAAAGTTTTTTGGGAAACAGATTATTTATGTAATTTCAAAGTATCTCCTCCAGAATAAAGTAATTACAGAAGGTGAAAAGTACTTCTTCAATGGAGAAATCTGGAAGTCACAATTTTAACTAAGTGATCAAAGTTAACGTCATCAGTCATAGAGCACACTGATGTTAGTTGAGTATCTCACCTGGTGGGAGTCACTGAGAAGGATTTAACGTCTCTAATGTATTCCTGCCAAAAATGCATAATGTGAGTTGAATCATGAAAAAGTAATAATATATCAAAAAACACTGTCTCCCACTATCCCCCCCAAAAAGCTAATAACTGTTTCAGATTAAAAGATACTAAAGAGACATGACAAATAAATCCCATTCATGGTTCCAGCTCTCAGGGGACAATATTGAGATAATCAGAGAAATTTAAATATGGACTTTACATTAGCTAATAGCATTATATTAGTGTTAAGTTCTCAGAATTATATTACATCATAGTTATATGAAAAAGTCCTTGTTAGTAGATACATAATAAAGAATTTAGTAGTGATGGGTCACAATCTTGTCAACTTATTCTTGACTTATTCAGCAAAAATTTAAAAGTTATACACTGATACCAGTTGCTAATGTTGCCATATAGTTTTTTAAATTAAACTCTTTAGTCTGTTAATGAGGTTAATAATTGTTGTTACGTTTATTATGTCATCAGGGAAAATATAATTATGTTAATGATTAACATAAATATTATTTATTGTATAGTCATGTGTGGAGAGGAAGAAAGTAAATTTGGCAAAATGCTAACAATGTGTTAATCTACATGAAGAATATATGGGAAATCATTCTATTGTACTATTATACCTTTCTGTAAGTCCGAATTTTTTATCAGACTAAACAGTGTAATTTATATTTAAAAAATTATAAGGCAACATGACCAAACCTGGTATTAATGCATACTGTAATACCAAGAAAATGTGTGTTGTACAGAACCATGCTAAAAACATATAACTAATAATATATTATTCAAATAATATATATTTTAGTGTAATCATTGGTTTTATTCTGTAACATTTATGCTCCCTTTTGATAGGTAATGGAATATCTTATCGGTGGAGATGTCAAGTCTCTCCTACATATATATGGTTATTTTGATGAAAAGATGGCTGTGAAATATATTTCTGAAGTGGCATTGGCTCTAGATTACCTTCATAGACATGGAATCATTCACAGGTAAAAACTGACTTTTCTCCACTCTATTACTTAAAAATACAAATAATCAAAGTATATCTAAAACAGTTGCATAACCATTTGCCCATATATCCAGGTTATCTAAAGTTTATTGCTGACTTGTGTAAATTTACAAATTCCATTAAGTCTTCCTTTACTGCCTCATGTTTTTGTAATACATTACTTTGCCCATGAGTATGTCATTTTATCATGATGAATATTGAATCATTTTTCCATCATACCATTATTCAAAAGTGCTATATTTTATAATCCCAGCTGATTACAGTGTTTTGTTCTGTGCAGACAGTCAGGGAAGTGGCTCTGCCCTATGAAATTTTGACCTTAACATCCTTGAATGAGGCAAATAGGATTTTGACCTGGCTTGAGGTTTATTTTAAGTAATGAGGTTGATTTCTTCTAATGGACTAATGAATAATGCAAAAGATTACCATTAAATCAGTTAACTTTCTTGTAGATTCATATATACAAATGATAGTTTGCTTCTTAAACTTTACTGCAGTTTCAAAACCATCAATGAGTGCCTTATTTTAGAGAAAATAAATAGGGCTTCAAAACTTCCGTAAATTTTTCCCCCCAGTAATTCTAACATCAATACTAGCTCTCTTTTAGTTATCTGATATTTATCTTTTGTATGTGCAGGGATTTGAAACCAGACAATATGCTTATTTCTAATGAAGGTCATATTAAACTAACAGATTTTGGCCTTTCCAAAGTTACTTTAAATAGAGGTAAGAAATAATAGCAGGTAAGTACTTTTTGAAGAAATTTAAGAATATAGACAGTTGAAGTTTTTAAAGAATTTCATATATTTTCTTTCCATGCATAGATATCAATATGATGGATATCCTTATAACACCATCAATGGCTAAACCTAGACAAGATTATTCAAGAACCCCAGGACAAGTATTATCTCTCATCAGCTCTTTGGGATTTGTAAGTACTTGATTTTTTTTTTTTTTAAAGCCTCATATAGCATACCCTTTCATGGTTACCATTTAAAATTTAAAATCCCATTCTTTCTTGGTTTTTTTCTTAATAAATGATCAAGATGAATGTAAATATCGAGCATGTTAGATTATGTAACAATTAATCTACTCAGGTGGTATAACTGTCTATGCGCTTAGGTGGTGTTATTGTGATGATGAATGTTAGCATTTTTGTCTTTCTTTTTAAAAGCACCCACCACCAGCTGCAGACAAAAGTGAGGAATCTGAAAATGTTCTTTCAACTCATGCGTCTGAGACATCACAACTTTCTCAAGGACTAATCTGTCCTATGTCTATGGATCAAAAGGATAGTACTCCTTATTCTAGCACACTACTGAAATCATGTGAGTATTAAAAAAAAGATAGTTCCTTTCTAATATCAGTTTAATAATTTAAAAATGCAAATACTTGAACAGTCTGTGGTATTCCTATATTTCATTATGTAGACATCATTTTTGACAGGGATTATGGTTGATTTTTAAGTCCACAGAGCAGAACAAAATGTCTAACTAAAGAGAGATTCTTCAATTATCCATAACGTTAGGACGATCATTGGGTAGATATCACTATATTGGATCTACAGAAGTCTTATATAGAGAAGATGTAGTACCTGTAACATTGTTATGTCTTTGTAAAATTATTTTTGAAAGATTTTTTAAATATGCCCTGGCTGGTATAGCTCAGTGTATTCAGTGCTGGCCTGCCAACCAAAGGGTCACTGGTTCGATTCCCAGTACAGACGCATGCCCGGGTTGTGGTCCAGGTCCCCAGTAGGGGGCGTGTGAGAGGTAACCACACACTGATGTTTCTCTCCCTCTCTTTCTCCCTCCCTTTCCCCTCTCTAAAAATAAATAAAATAATAAAATAAAGTAAATAAAAATGTTTTAAATACAATAGTCAAAAAAAAGTTATAATTTTTTTAAGTAGCACACAATAAAAGACAAAGTCCAATACTGGAAGAGGAGAGTGGGATATTTGATATTTGTTTGGCACGTAACTTCACCCTTTATAATGTGGCAACAGTGGACAATTTAGTTCTCTGCACTCATGTTCTTTATCTTGGGAATGTGAATAATGATGCTTGAAGGGTAATTAGCATTAATTGTTTTCATGGATGTTACCTCATTTTGAATTTGGTCCTCAACAAATCTGTACATGTAGTATTGTCTTCTTTTTGCCAATGAGAATTGGCAAGCTGGTATTTGAAAATGCTTAGTTATATACTAATAAATGGGTAAGCCAAGTCCTGATTGTAAATGCAATTTTCTGTTCACTTTACCCTTTCCTCCAAATTCAGTGAATCTCATTTCTTCTGGCAAAATCCACTGTAAAAATGAAAATGGCTAAAATACATATATATAGCTTTGATAACAGAGACTGTTAAAATATGTAATATGCTGATGTTATTTTATAGCTTTAGTCTTAAGAAAAAATAATTGTAACTCCCTTAGTAATTCTTTAATCCAGTCATAATTAGGTAGGTGCAAGACAAGGTACTATGGATATAAAAATGGATAACAGACATCCTTGCCTCAGAAAAATTATAATTTTGTGGTAATTACAAGTTTAAAAAGATAGCAATAACAATCCTATAAAATAGATGCCACAGAGACTTACTTTTATGCAACACAGAAACTGACAAACACTAACTAATGATTCTAAATGAAGATTCAACAACAGCCAAGCTATAGGGGTTTTTTTCCAGACCCAGAAAGAGAAACACATACTTAATAGCTCCAAGTGTAGTGGGAAAGGACATTTCAGATAGAGGCCCTAGCATGAACAAAGGCATGTACACATAGAAGTATATTCCATTTTCACATCGTAGGGACTAAATGTATTATGTGAGAATGGGAACTATGTACAATGAAAAAGAAAACTTAGCAGATAGATAGGAAAGGGTCAAGTGTCATTACAGGGGTCATGGAATTTAAGCTATATCAAAAGTTCCAAAGTAGGAAATGGCATGATTGCATCGATAATTCAGAAAGAACTTGTTAGTAGATATACAGTATGCACATATTCAATTAGACACAAGTTCCATATTATGGGGAAAGGCAGCCGAATAGTTGGGTCAAATATCAAGGTCAGTGTTCAGTGAGTTTCAAGAATTCCATTGCGAGGATTTATGTCCCATAAAGAAAATTGTTTTAGATGGACTTTGAAATTCTTCTAGATTTAAAGTTTTAATAAGATTTATTAAGTCAAAAAACTTAAGACTAAGAATTTCTGTGGGCCCTGGCTGGTGTGGCTCAGTGGATTCAATGCCAACCTGTAAACCAAAGGGTCGCTGGTTCGATTCCTGATCAGGGCACATGCTGGGTTGCAGGCCAGGTCCCTAGTGCGGGGTGCAAGAGAGGCAACCACACATTGTTATTTCTCTCCCTTTCTCCCTCCCTTCTCCTCTGTCTAAAAATAAATAAATAAATAATCTTTAAAAAATTTATTTGGGTTTGAAGTTATGTTCAACCCATTTTGGAAAAAGGAAAACAAGATAAAGATATCTTTTTATATAGGTATAAAAGCTTCATATTTTTACATTTTATGATCTTTGCTAAAAGCATGGTTGTCTATTGTGTCTAATTATAAGTTCAAGAGCAGTAATTTTTGGCATCGTTATTTATCTATAGGATAAAGGGACATGCATCATGTTGATAGTGCTGCTTTTTTCCAATAGCTCACTCTTAGCCAATTTACCATTACTTATTTATTTTACCCAGTGGTATTAAAAAATCCCTTGTAGATATGTATAATTTACACTTGTAAGCACATAAACCTCAACATTAAAGTAAAGTTATAGTTTTAATTATAGATTTAATTATTTAGTTATAGGTAAATTTAGTCACATCTGTGTATAGCACATTAACAATGCTCCTTTCTCTAGAAGAGTTTCAAATTGGGTAATGAATATTAAATGGATTTCTTCCTAATTATAAATCAGTTCCTTTGTCCTGATTTTTACTTTACAAATATTGAGAGGGTTTTTTTTTTTTAACTTTCAGAACAGTATTTGTACACCAAAAACACCAAGAGCCATTTTTGTGGAGTGGATAATGTTTATAAAGAAATAGCTCTGATGTGCAATACGTAACACTTTGCCTAATTATTTGTAAAGATTCAGGTTCAGTGAGGAACTAAGAAAGATGTGACATAAAGTTCAATATTTTCTTTTTTCTACAGGTCTTGAAATAGTTGCCTCCAACCCCGGAATACCTGTCCAGTGTCTAACCTCTCATCTACTCCAGTCTAGGAAAAGGCTGGCCACGTCGAGTGCCAGTAGTCAGTCCCACACTTTCGTGTCCAGTGTGGGATCTGAATGCCACAGCAGCCCCAGATGGGAAAAGGATTGCCAGGTTAGAGTGAACTTTATCTTAACCATAACCAATTATGTGTGTGAAATTATTCATAGAAACATTTTACCTTTTTAAATGCTTTATGGAAATGAAACTGTTATATGAGCAGCAGTCAAGGTAGTTTTCACTTTCCTGTACATTCCGTTAAATTCTTTTGAAATATCTATTTCTCATTCAAATGTAAAATTATTCTCAGTTTACATAATGAGATTTCAAATTTTTAAATCTTTGTTATAAATTGATAGTAAATGTTTGGCTTCCAGGCATCTAAATAGACTTTTTTTTCAATTCCCTGCCATGACACAGACATTAGCTTGTTGATTTTTTTAAAATGTACATCTTATTTTTAAACTCACATTACCTCCTTCTGTACTGTTTTCTGCCAGTTTCTCATTTAATGGAATGGCAACTCTTCTGGATCAGAAATGACTTTTAGACCACAAAGATAATGTAGATGTACCTTCAAAAGTATCTATTCTGCCCTGGCTCAGTGGACTGAGCACCGGACTACAGAGTGAAAGGTCGCCAGTTTGATCCCTGGTCAGGGCACATGCCTGGGTTCCGGGCCAGGTCCCCAGTTGGAGCATGAGAGAGGCAGCCAGTCTATTTTTCTCTCATATGTGTTTCTCTCCCTCTCTTTCTCCTTCATTTCCCCTCTCTCTAAAATAAATAAATAAAAAAATTTTAGAAATATGTATTCTAAGAAAATTGCTTGCTAAGTGAATGAATTTACTTAGGTTTTTTACTTAATTTTCTCTTTTTCTCTTTTTAAAAGCAATTAAAGCTGAGAAGAACTGAAATTTTAAATTATAATAAAATTGCCTTCATAGAATGCCAATAAAATAATGTTAGATTAGAAGAATGGTAGTACACAAAGAATAAACCTTCCATTTGATAAAATAATTTGGATTGCATTTGCTCCTCATTCTCAGCCATATGATCTTTATTATTGTTGGGTATTTGCATTTTAGGAGTAAGGTCAAATTTTTTAGTTAAGGCAGGATTTCTCAATCTTTTTTCCTTTCTCCTTATAGGCTGCTTTATAGACAATATGTGCATGTGACAGAATAAACCATATTTGCATTCCCAGTACTATTATTTCATTTCTGTAAGAAAGAAATATGCTCTTTCAACTATACACAGCCTTACCTTGTTCCTCTTATTTCTGCATCCCCAAGGAATGCAATGATTGGATTCTAGTGATTCTTCTCGAGTTATGATCGACAGAAGAACAAGGGACCCCTGATAACCCTATGCTAATCCCAAATACATCATTTTCTATGCTCGAAGATCAATCAGTTGTAATTCAGAAATTTTCTCTGATTCATGACTAAGTGCTCTGTGTTATTACTTAGTTAATAAAGTTTGATTTTCTCATTTCAAAAATAGGCACTATTAGAGTTACTGACGATTCCCTCTCACTGAGTAATCGTGTAAACATCACGATTACCATGCACCAATTTGCGGTATTAGGTACAAAGCTTTGATCACCCAAGAGCTTCTGCAGGTGGCTGGAACTCAGTTTTCAAGAAAAACATTTTGGTATTAGTCATCAGTTCAGCTTGTTGACAATGGATTTAACTCCTGTTACTTTGGGTTTCTCATTATAAATTACCACTAATTTAGCCTCATTTTTATCAGCTTGGCTTTCTTTTACTTGTTTGAAGTGATACATGTTTACATTACTAATATTTTTTATCTATAATTTTCCATTAATTATATTTACGTCAAGTCTTGTAGATTTTGCGATTCAAAATAGAATCATCCATACTCCTATGCAAAACAGATATATGCATAATAGAGCCTTTCCCCAAATTTGTCTAAATATGTTACCTGTTAACTTGTTCTATTTAAACATGTAATACACTATCAAATAAGTATAGAATATTTGATTTATGTTTTCAACCAGTGTTTCACTCAAAATAATGTATATAAATGTATACTAAAATTGTTTATATTGCTTTTAATTATCTGTTATCATTGTTCTTTTGCTCCATTAGAAAATGGGAATAAGGAGCACAACAGTTTATTGGGTCATTTATTCCATATAAGTGGACAGAGGCTTAACACAGGTTAAAGAACCTCAATTTTATGTAACTGAAAAAAGGTCCTTCCCTTTCCCCTTAGGAAAGTGAGGAAGCATTGGCCTCTGCCATGATGAGTTGGAGCACAACGGAAAAGTCTTTATGCACAAAATCTACAAACGCCATCAAGACCAGAAGTTTCTGTAAGAAAGATCTTGAGTTAGCCCTTTCTCCCATTCAGAACAGCACTGCCATTCCTGCCAGTGGAAGCTATTGTGTAAACCCTGCTAAAAAATGCTTCTCTGGAAAAGTTTCTTGGGAAGCAAGAGAACTGGATATAAATAATATTAATATGGCCACTGGCATAAGACAGTCCGATTTTCATCAGTCACATCAGGGGGCTGTGGATTCTGATGATATGATTGAAGAACATCTTGGGAAAAGAAGTGTTAAGAGACATTTTGAGTTAGTTGACTCCAGTCCTTGTCAGAAAACCATACAGTATAAAAAAAGTTGTACAGAGTATAAGCATGGTAATGAAATGAGAGATTGTTATACAAATCAAAGTACAAGCTTAACAACTGAAGTTCAAGACCTTAAGCTATCGGAATGTAGAAGTCAGCAAAATGACTATGCTAATAAGGAGAACATGGTTGATTCTTTTATGGATAAACAACAAACACCAGAAAAAACACGTATCCCAATGATAGCAAAAAACCTTATGTGTGAACTGGATGAAGACTGTGACAAGCATAATGACAACTTAAGTTCTAGTTTTCTATGTTCTGACGATGATAGAGCTTCTAAAAGTATTTATGTAGACTCTGATTCATCTTTTCCTGGAATTTCTATAATGGAAAGTCCATTAGAAAGGCAGTCTTTAGATCCAAATAATAGCATCAAAGAATCTTCTTTTGAGGAATCAAATATTGAAGACCTACTTACTATATCACTGAACAGCCAAAAAAGTCCCTTGCCAAAAGGTGATGAGAACCCTGCTGTTCAAGACAGTAACCAAAAAATGTTAGCTCCTTCTTCGGAGGTGCTGAAAACATTAACTTGCTCTAAAAGAAATGCTGTAGCGTTTCGAAGTTTTAACAGTCATATTAATGTATCCAATAACTCAGAACCATCCAAAATGAGCTTTACTTTCGATGCGATGGATATGTCATGTGCTTATAGTGGTTCATATCCCATGGCCATAACCCCTACTCAGAAAGAAAGACCCTACTTCTATCAGGTATGTTATTACTTTCTAACACTTGTTCTTTCAATTGTAGAAAAATAAACTGTGAAGGCCACACTCCTTCCTGTCAGCTAGACTATATGATATTAAGCATATAATCTTGTTTTACTGGTTGGAAATCTATGGATTGTTGAAAGTTTTAATGCAGAAAAGTAAAGCTAGTCGTAATGTTTATTCTTAATGACAATGCCATCTTCATTTGTACTGCTCTACACACTTTCACATATTTAAATTCACATATTAATAATCATATATTTTCACTTGATTCCAGCAACTGTGAGTTAAAGTCTACTCTACTTCTAAGTACCTATTTAGATAATCTCTTCTTTACAGAAAAAAGTTGAAAGTCTATATTTCAATTCTTATTTTGTTTTTATTATCTTTTTTTTCCTTCCCTTGTAGAGATATCATAATATAAAGAGTAGAAACCAGGAATGTAGAGTTACAAAACTTGTGTTTATTATTCAGATTATTAGAAATCTCTTAACTTCAGAGTCTCTGTTTTCCACCTGTCTGTGGAATGTAATGACACCTATCCTGCTGGTCTCACAGAGTCCTTATGAGACAACTAAATATCTTAAAAACTCAAACGCCCGTTAGCACAAGAGGTTATTTACATTTAGTTCTGCCTTATGTATTATCCTAACATTTCAGTCATTTGTCAGCTGCAGCCCCGCTCGGTGACTTCATAAACTTGGATTAATCTGTGCTATCAAGAGTTTTTTTCTTGTCGACTTTTTTATTGTTTCATTCATGTCCATATCTTATTGAAATAGTTGGTGTGACCTAGCCTCTGGAGTATCATTAGATATTAGGACTTTTTATCATTATAATTAGTTATGAGTCCTTTTTCAAAACTGATGAAGAATTTGAGTATGTCCTTCATGCCCAGCAGCCTCACTTTTTTGTTTTGTAATTTCTGTTCACTGTAAAAGGAATTAATTGTCTCTTAAAAACTCTTTTTAAATTAGCAGACCCCAAATCAGGTCAAGTCAGGAACTCCATATCGAACTCCAAAGAGTGTAAGAAGAGGGGCAGCCCCAGTGGATGACGGGCGAATCCTGGGAACCCCAGACTACCTCGCACCTGAGTTGTTATTAGGCAGGGCCCATGGTAAGGCATACATGTCTTGAGTTTTTGAAATGTTATCTATTACTACATTTTCTTTTCTTTTTTTTTAAGATTTTATTTATTTTTAAAGAAAGGGAAACAGAGGGAGAAAGAGAGGGAGAAAAACATCAATGCATGAGAGACACATCCATCAGTTGCCTCTTGCATGCCCCTAGCCAAGGGACCTTGCACGCAAGCCAGGCACGTGCCCAGGAATTGAACCAGCGACCCTCTGGTTCACAGGCTAGCACTCAGTCCACTGAGCCACACCAGCTGGGGCTACATTTTCTTTTGAAATGTAATTGTTTTAAATTTCTTTCATACTTAGATTACCTAAAGGAGAAGAAATTAACTCATGCAGTTTTCTTTCCTCCTCTATGTGACATTTGTTACAAGGAAAGGAGACATGCAGCCATTTGTTCTTTGCTTCTGGTACAGTCTCAGTGATCTAAAGAAGCCCCACCTTTCACTCCCTCGTTATCTTTGCTCCTAATGGCTCCTCAAGTCTGTTGTAGTTTTGGCTTAAAAATACAAAGTTGAACCTAGAATTCTGTCCTGTCTGCAGAAGCCTATTCCTGCCTAGAGTGTACCTTCACTTATACCTTCACCAGAAGGGTCAAGCGTGAGACAAACCATCCTGCAAAATGTAACATAGGAATAAAAGGATGATATTTCACTTACCTTATTTTCCCTTCCTACATCTAAAATGAACTGTATTTGTTTCCTGGGACTACTGTAACAAAGTACCACAAACTGAGTGGTTCAAAACAACAGAAATTTATAGTCTGACTGTTCCGGAGGCCAGAAGTCTAAAAATCAAGGTGTTGACAGGGCCATGCTTCCTCTGAAACCTAGAGGGGAATGCTCTCCTGCCTTTCTTAGCTTCTAGTGGTTTGCTAGCTGTCTGTGACGTTTCTTGGTTTGTAGATGCATCACTAATCTTCCCTCTTTGTACAGTGTTCTTGTCTCTCTATGGTCACCTGGTGTGCTTTCATAAGGACACTGGTCAAATTAGGGGCCCACTCTACTCCAATATGACTTCATCTTAACCTAATTAATTATATCTGCAAGGGCCCTATTTCCAAACATCAAATTCAGAGAACCTCAGTTCAGCCCACAACATAATCCCTTCTACATTTTGATATTAATCGCTTCCCTTTGCTTTGGACTCTTGGTGGTCATCTGTCTCATCCCACCCCCACCCCCCAAAAAAACTTTTATTTTTCTTTCTTTGCTGGCTTTTTTCCTTAATGTGAAAATTAGCTTCTGCCCTTATCTTCCCCTCACTACCTCACTTTTCAAAGTTTGCCTCTTTTCTCTGCCTGACCATGTTTGCTTTGGCAATCTGAATATTTCACTGAAACTTTTTTTTAAGTATATGTTATTGGTTATGCTATTGCAGTTCCATTTTTTCTCCCCTTTACCCGCCTCAGCTCTGCACGCCCCCTTCCACATTACCCGCCTTAGTTCATGTCCATGGGTCGTATATATAAGTACTTTAACTTCTCCATTTCCTGTACTATTCTTAACCTCTGTCTATTTTATGCCTACCAATTATGCTTCTTATTCCCTGTACATTTTCCCCCAATCTCCCCTGGCCCCCTCCCTGCTGATAACCCTCCGTGTGACCTCCAGTTCTATAATTCTGATCCTGTTCTAGTTGTTTGCTTATTTGGTTTTGGGGTGGTTTTTTTCTTAGGTTCAGTTGTTAATAGTTGTGAGTTTGTTGTCATTTTACTGTTCATAGTTTTGATCTTCGTTTTCTTAAATAAGTCCCTTTAACATTTCATATAATAAGGGCTTGGTTATGATGAACTCCTTTAACTTTACCTTGTTAAGCACTTTATCTGCCCTTCCATTCTAAATAATCGTTTTGCTGGATAGAGTAATCTAGGTTGTAAGTCCTTACTTTTCACGACTTTGAAAACTTCTTGCCAGCCCCTTTTTGCCTGCAAGGTTTCTTTTGAGAAATCGGCTGACAGTCTTATGGGAACTTCTTTGCAGGTAACTGCTTTTCTCTTGCTGCTTTTAAGATTCTCTTCTTATCTTTAATCTTGGGTAATTTAATTATGATGTGTCTCTTGGTATGTTTCCCCTTAGATCCAACTTCTTTGGGACTCTCTGAGCTTCCTGGTCTTGCATGTCTAGTTCTTTTGCCAGACAGTGGAAGTTCTCCTTCATTATTTTTTCAAATAAGTTTTCAATTTCTTGCTCTTCCTCTTTTCCTTCTAGTACCCCTATGATTCCAATGTTGGACTGTTTAAAGTTGTCCCAAAGGTTCCTAAACTTCTCATTTTTCTGAATTCTTGTTTCTTCATTCTGTTCAGGTTGAATGTTTACTTCTTCCTTCTGTACCAAATTGTTGTTTTGGGTCCCGTTTCTTCCTTCCCTTCCCTATTGGTTCCCTGTATATTTTTCTTTGTTTCATATTGTATAACCTTCACCTCTTCCTTTATTTTGCAACCACGCTCAATCCTTTTTTTTTTTTTTTAAGATTTTTAATTTATTTTTAGAGAGAGGAAGAGACGGGGAAACATCATTGTGTGGTTGCCTCTCACGCACCCCTTACTGGGAACCTGGCCTGCAACCCAAACATGTGCCCTGGGCTGGGAATCAAACCAGTGACCCTTTGGTTCACAGACTGGTGCTCAATCCACTGAGCCACACCAGCCAATGCTCTTGGTTTGTTTGTTTTTTTAAGTGTATTTTTGATTACACTATTACAGTTGTCCCATTTTCTTCCACCCCTTTATTCCCCTCCACCCTGCAGCCCCCTTCCCACCAGCATTCCCCCACCTCTTAGTTCATGTCCATGGCGCATATATATAAATTCTTTGGCTTCTCGATTTCCTATACTATTCTTAATCTGCGCCTGTTTATTTCAGTCATTTCTGTGAGCATCCTTATTACCAGTGTTTTGAACTCTGCATCTGACAGGTTGGCTATCTCCTCATTGCTTAGTTGTTTCTCTGGAGTTTTGATATGTTCTTTCATTTAGACCATATTTCTTTGTCTTCGGGCACCAGTCTGAATGAAAAGTTTCTTTAACCCCTTGGTTGTCGGACTTCCATACAGTTCAATTTTCTGGCAGTTCTGGTTGTTTTTTGTTTTTAAAATTGGTTCTCATCATTCTTTTGGTTGTGTGAGGAAACAAAGTGTATCTCTACCTATGCCTCCATCTTGGCCGGAAGCTTGAAATTTTTATTAGCAGTCACCTATGGTGTCATTATTTACAGATCTACCAGCCTTTTCTCAGTTTCACTCCTATCTCTATTGCTACTCCTCAGTTCTTTCCTTAGCTCTTGTAAATATGGAAGTTCTTAATGATTCTGCCCTTTACCCTTATCATGTGCTCCCTGTTAATCTCATCATTCCCATCACTTCAGTTGGATCTATGGTAGTGTTTCCCAGATACCGATCTCTAATCCTGACTTTCACTAGGCAGCAGACACATGGCCTTAGTATCTAGTATTCTACAGGTCTTGCAATTGCTGCCTGTCAAAACTGGACTTGTTATCCAGCTTTCACTTCCTCTGTGCCTTATCTCAGTTTCACCATTTTTGTGGTAACAGAGACATTGGGCATTTATATATACATTTTATACACACACACACACACACACACACACACACACACACACACATTCTGGCATTTATATCTGGTTGATTACATCTCTGCATTATTTCTCCTTACTGTTTCATCTCTCCCACTATCTCTGCCTCATCTTTTCCTTTCAATTATTTGATAGCTTCCTTGCCCTGGCTGGTGTGGTTCAGTGAATTGAGCACCAGCCTGCAAACCAAAGGGTCGCTGGTTCAGTTCCCAGTTAGGGCACATGCCTGGGTTGCAGGCCAGGTCCCCAGTAAGGGACACACAAAAGGCAACCACTCATTGATGTTTCTCTTCCTCTCTTTTTCCCTCCATTCCCCTCTGTCTAAAACAATAAAATAAATTTTTAAAAATCTAAAAAAAAGTTATTTAATAGCTTTCTTTCTGGTCTTCTCAACTTCATTCTATTGTTTATAATTATTGCCACCAGAAATCTCCTCCTTTTTTCTCCCCATATTGTTTTGTTTTTTCTGATTGCAAATTTACTACATTTTATTCGAAAACCAATGAAAACACACAGAGAGCAGAGCTGTTTTGTATGTTACAATCTAGATTTTGATTCAATTTAAATTGTTCTCTTCCTGTGCCTATATACCCTTGCCCCACTTTTCCTTACCAGAGTCCAAGGTAGGAGAGACCACGAGCATCCCATAGGGCAGCAGCACAAAATCCAGATTTTTTTAAAAACATATCATGGTTCATGCTACTGCCCTCCTTGAAAAACTATGGTGTCTCCTTAAAAGCCAGATTACTGATCATGGCATGTGGGCTTCAAGCTCTCATAGTAGCCACATCTCTCAGAGGTTCTTTTATAGGCCTTATATTCCCATTCTACTTCTTAGACACATTATTTTCAAATTGTCCTTATTTTACTTAGGTATTAGTTTAAAAAAAAGCCAGTCCCCAACATCTTCCTGTTTAATTTCCTTTCATTGATGATCAGCTTAAATGTCACCTCTTCCATAAAGTATCCTTTGGTCAGTTATGGAGATTTATTTATTCACTGCCATGTCACTTAAGTAGAAACTGTTTAGCCCTGGCCAGATTGCTCAGTTGGTTAGAGCGTCATCAAAGTACACCAAGGTTGCAGGTTCAATCCCAAAAGAAACTATTTAAAGCTTACATTATTCTACCTATGTTATAATTGTTGTATTTTTCTCTACTACAAAAGCTTGAGAAAGTATCCTAAGACATAGTGTCTGAGGTTTCCCTATAGATAGCACTCCAGGAGACTTCCTGAGCAGCACTCAGCACTGTTTTGAATAATCTCTACTGTGCTAAAAGTGGACACACTTAATATTCCCCTTCTTAGTCAAAGAACTAAGTTCCTCTGGGCACTTAACTGACTTATGTATAGTGTCCTTTTTGCTAAATCACAGATTTGCTAGGCCATTTACTCTCTTATAATTTGTATGTTGTCTAACTTAGGATACAATATGAAAGTAAGCTTCAAATGTAAAGATTTACTTTATTAGATCTTGCCACTATTTTAGTGGGATATCTAGTTACCTCAGTTATCTAGTGATATATTTTTAAGTTATTATTTTCTATAAAAGTAACTTGATACATAGTTTTTTTAAATGACAAATAGTACAAAGCAATTTATAATCAAAAGAAAAAAAATCAATTCCCTGTTCCCTGCCTCTTCCCCCAGATCCCAGGCCCCAGGGAGTAGTTCCTTGGCGCCTATGCTTCTTCTCGTACGTGTACCTCTCAGTTTCCTAGCATCGTGCTGAGGCACAGCTACGACTCCTCTGGTGGCCTCCACAGTCTTCCAGTCTTCCTCTCCACAAGCAGACTTAGGAACTTTGGCCAGAGTCTCCCATAGCTTCTTGTACTTATTTTTGTTTCAGATCTTAACATTGTGTTAAAATTATCTGTATCGTCTTACCCGGAGTAGGCTATTTTCTCCTGAGAAAAAGCTCTTTTTTTTTTTTTTTTTTTTTTAAATTTCAACTGTGTACCCCTTATATCTGTCACAATCCCTGGTATCTAGTTCAATGAATGATGTGAGAATGAACTCATAATTTTAATACAATGTGCCTAACTACTGTTTTCTTAAATGCAGGATTTCTGACTTCGGGTGAGTGAGCTTCTTTCTAAAGTAATATGGTGAAGCACATTAAACTGAATAGTCAAAGTATAACTAGATCGCATGGCAGAAAAAAAAACTTTTTTTCATTTTAGCTCAAATGAAGTGTCTTCCGTTTTCTGAGCAGGAGAACATCCAGAGGTTGCTTTTCTCTGAAAACAAATGTAGGCCTCTGACATTTGTATAACTTTTAAAGGTAGCAGAGAGTAAAGATATGTATTTTTTTATTGCAGTAGAGGAAATAGGCTTGATAAAAATATTACAGTTGACAGCTACAAAAGGGCTGGAATTTTGTAAACCATTTAATGCCATTATTATTATTAGAAAATAGTCATAAACAATGTCAATATACAAATTACAGAAGTGGGTTGTGAATTAGAAAGTAATGTAAAGTAAGTTCTCTTTCTCTGGCTAATGTTATAATTGTTAGAATTGATCACAACATATGATCTTATTAGACTTTGACTTACATATATGGGTATGTGTGACATATCCATGGAGAAAACATGTATGTTTTTGACATGCGTACATTTCGGCTGAACTGGGAAAAGGGTCCTAATTTCTAACAAGTAAAATAAATAAAATGTATGTTTTTTTCGGATTTCCTGCTACTTTTCTGTTGTTTAGTTATATCATCAAATCCATTTAATTACTTTCTGAGTGCTGCTTAAAAGATCTACTAACTGAGGTGGTTTGTATGTTTTTATAGTGATTACTATGGAAACATACTATTACTATTTGCATCTTGAGTTCTTAGGGAAAATGGGGTTATTGGCTTGCAAGTGAAAGGGCATTCTATGTGCATGTGATTATTTTTTCCTAACAGCAGATTCCACAGTGCTTTCCTACTTGTTATGAAATGGGAGGGGAGCAGTTGCTTAACCACAGTAACGGAGTTGGTGAAATTGAGCTTAAAGAGTAATTTCTAGGCAAATTTAGCACTAAACTACAATCCCAGTTCTAAATTTATATTCAAGTTAACCATTTTTGGACTAAATTTAACCTTTGCTCAGTAAACACCTTATTCACAGACAGAAGTAAACAAAAACATAGACCAGATTATACAGTCATGTTTAAAATAATCCTTTAAAACATCTTTGTATATAAATGGTGCTTTCAATAAAAATATTAGTTAGAAATCACTTTTTCCTATTTGTTAAGATATATCCTAATTACCTCAAGCTATAGTTTAAGTGAATATTCCTTGTTAAACTAATTTGTGATCTTAAAAGGAATAAAGCACATTGAAATACTCTGTAAGAAAAGCTTTGCGTAATTACCAGGCTATCCTCCAATTAGTATAAATGTTGCTACTTCATCTCATACTTTGTGAAATGAGTGGAATATGGAATTGTCTTAATGTTATTTCCCAATTTGAAATTGAGAACTACTGCAACTGTTTTAGAGGATAATTGGTAGATTAAATGCATTACTAGGTCGTGTTTTAGAATTTAGAGCAAGTAACTATCCAGAATGTCAGAAGTTATTAATAAATGACCAAAGATAGATTTAACTTTTCTTTAACTAGCTGTATTAATTGCTGATCTAAACTTCATAGGAAATAGGGAAAGAAAGTAATTGCCATATTGCATAATGAAGGTCATTTGACGTTTTGCACGTTATGAAGCCAGAAGGAAGCCTCAGGAAATGAATGCCTTGATTGTGCCCAAATTTGATTAAATATTATGATCAAATATTTGCAGAAAATGCTCGCAAGTTCAACTACTTACTCTTAAATTCCAGGTCCTGCAGTAGACTGGTGGGCACTTGGAGTTTGCTTGTTTGAATTTCTAACAGGAATTCCCCCTTTCAATGATGAAACACCACAACAGGTATTCCAGAATATTCTGAAAAGAGGTGATTCTTTTTCTCCTATTAAGACAGATTAATTTACCTCTGCCTATTATTTTGAGCAATGATCAAGAGGCTTATTCATATTTGTAGATATCCCTTGGCCTGAAGGTGAAGAAAAGTTATCTGATAATGCTCAAAGTGCAGTAGAAATACTTTTAACCATCGAGGACACAAAGAGAGCTGGAATGAAAGGTAAGGTTTTGTGTTAATAAACTCTTTTACCCTTGACTTGTTTCAGGGGGTGAATGTTAATCCCAATACGAAGTTCTAGTATAATGCCACAGATAATCTGACTGTTAGATTAGTTTAAAAAGAATTTGAGTTTATTTTTGCCCTCTGGGTATCCATGGACATACTTGCCCTTTTTCTATATTAAAATTTAATGTGATCAAGTTGTAATAAATCACTTATTGAATTTTAACGTCAGGTAAGCACCTGAAACAATCTTATCTTGTCAGTGTCTTAGGTTTATCAGGGCCTGATAAAGTTAACCACTCACAAAATAAGAAGCATTTTTTTACCAAAATTATAATTCTATATTTTCTAACTGCATCATTTCTAATACCATTATTGATTGTGTATCTGGTGCCAGGTTACCTCAAATGAGACAAATTCGGTACATTATGATCCCTTCAGTGTTTTTTCCCCACTGCAGGGGAAAGGTTAAACTACAGTTTTGAAACTGGTAAATCTCATGAGCTGCCCTAAGATCCTTTTTGTAACAGGATATGGAAAGAAACAAATAAGCCTTATGTCCCAAAATACATTTCCATGTGAAGTAGGAGGATTTAGAAAATTTAGCTTTAGGATTATGTCATTTGCATCCACTTCTAATAAAATCCATTGTTTGGTTTTTTGTTTGTTTAACAAATGCTATAGAGTGACCTCTAGGTGCCAGACAGTGTTGTTACAGGTGTTAGAGGTTCCCTACAGAGGAACCAAACTAAAATCCCTGTGATTTTATATTCTAGTGAAAAGACAGAAAGTAAACAAATATAACCGTGACATAATGTCATCTAGTTGTAAGTTCTATGAAGAAAGATTAAGCAGGGTGAGAGAATACAAGGTATGGCAGGAGATTTTTTTTTTTTTTTAGATGGAGTAGTCAAGAAGACCTCTGAAGACTAGAATTTGAGCAAAAACCTGTGTAAAGCGAGGGCACAGATATTTGACAACTGAGCTCTAACACTTCCTTTAGAACAAGGATTCTCAGCTGGGGTGAATTTGCTCCCCAAAGGCCATTTGGTATTGTCTGGAGATGTTTTGGGCTGCCACAACTGTCGGGAACATCCTCCAGTGCACAGGATAGTCCCCACAGCAAAGAATTATCCAGTCCCAAATATCAATTGTGCTGAAGTTGAGAAACCATTTTTTAGCAAATTACATTATGTTATAGTAATTACATATTATGCATTATATTATATATACATACTATCCTAGTAATTACTATAATGTAATTTGCTCAAAGTAAGTGGAGACAAAAGAAAAGTACTCTTACCAATGACCTCAGACTTCTGTTTGTTTAATGAACAGTTCACATAGTAAAGCCAACAACAGGGGTATTCTTCAGTTAAAAAACAGTTGCTTCAACTGTTTGTTTAGTTAATCTTAACCTAGATTAGAACTGGAAGATTCAGGTTAAATAAATAGCTATGATGAGAGGATCATAAAGCATCACATCACATCTAGATATCATAGTTTAAGAGTTATTAAAACAAGTAACTCTAAAGTAATCCATGCTCTGATATTTATTTTGAACAATTAAAAGGCAAATTCTCTATATAAAAATTGTTTTTGCTATTTCAATCTCTCTTCCTACCAGTCTTTCAGTTTAGGAAAAAGGCCATATGTAGAGTTACAGATTTCCCAACCCACCATCCCCAATACAGACCCATAATTCTCCCTCATCTGTGTAGTCTTCTCCCAGTATTTCCATCAAATTTGATTGCTGATTTTTTTAGCTGTTTACTGCCTTAACTGCCACTTCATTTTTTTTGTCAGTGTCTTTATTATTGCCTTATGAAGTGAAGGATTGAAAGGGGAAGTTAGGTTTAGTAACGAAATGTAACAAAATGATCAGAAGAGCATATTTTCATTTTAGTATGTAAAGGAAATAGTAAAGAGGACAATTATTGAAAATGTAACTAAAGAGATAAGCAAAGTTGAGATTTTGTAAATAGAAGCAGTAAAGATTCCAGATGTGACCATACTGCTAGATATTTAGTTGATGTCTTGTGAAAATGCAAGTCAGTGATACCAAGGAAGTCAAAGAACCATGAAGAGAATGTGTCAGAAGTGTCATCAATGTATGTGTTGAGATCACCATGAAAGATACTGATGGAGCATAGCAAAGACAGCAAGGGAATGCAGATGAGCTTTTTGCTAAAGTTACCCAGGGCAGTAGATAGTGCTAAGGATTGCAGAGATATAGAGGTGGCAAGGACTTGGAATGAGAAATGGGACATAATCATGGAAGATGAGTGGTGTAGAAGCTGTATGGGAGAGCAGGAAGTAGGCCACTGTCTCGCTCAGTGAGTCGGGGATTATGTGAGAAGATGCAGGCAGCAAGAAAGATAGGCTTCTGTTAAAGCAAATCATTCAGTCACTTATTTGACAAATAGTGATGGTGAACCTGTCCTATACTAAGTAATGTACAAAATGACACAGAGTGTGTCATTGAGAAGTATGTAGTTGAATAGAAAAACAGACAAACAAATGCCTATGGAAGTGGCATAATAAAGTAGGGCAAGATATATGTGTGGCAGTGTCCTTCATTCCTGTAGAAGAGTACTTGCTTAGGTAATGGTGTCATGATATTCTGTTTTATGTTTTTCCAAAGAGCTGAAACATCATCCTCTCTTCAGTGAAGTGGACTGGGAAAATCTGCAGCATCAAACTATGCCTTTCATACCCCAACCAGATGGCGAAACAGATACATCCTATTTTGAAGCCAGGAATAATGCTCAGCGCCTGACTGTATCTGGATTTAGTCTATAGCACATAAGTCTGCCCTTTAAGCTTACCTTGTCTTATGGGATAACCTAGCATAATTATATACTCCTTGATACTAGATTAATTTAAAGGGGGGAAACCATTTTACCTCGATCAGTGAGCTTTTAATATATGTTACAGCTTCCACAGAGGTAAAAGGCTATCAAGAATATAATCAATAACTTATCTTAATCTCAAAGTTGTATATAGATCTTCAAAGCTTCTTTCATCTTATTTATTTTGTCACTGCACTTTATGAAAATGAATGCATCAGTAAAACTAGAATGGCACTAACACTTTTGAGCAAATGAGACTTAAGCTTGATTTCCTTATCAGTTGATTTCAGTTTACCATTAAGTTTGGTGTTAAAATAACCAAAATGCCATACAATTTCAATTTTATGTAACTTATTTGTACATGATTGCCTCCAAAAGCTAGTCTCAAAGGCAATCCTTTAAGACTGCATTTGTAACCTCCAAATACAGCTGGAAAATTCTTTCACTCAGTAGTACAGCTCCTTTTAGGAATGTGGGATGAACAAAAGGGCTGTGGTTTTAGCTTACTTTCTTATGAACACATTTTGCTATCTGGACTGCTTTAGATACTTTCTCTACAATACATATTTGTTTAAACTAGTACTGGAAAGCTTAGGTGTGATACTGGAGCAATTTTAACAGCTTGTTCAGTCTTAATAAAACGTGACAGTTTAAATCTTAAAATAATTTGTTTAAAACATAGGCAGTATTACCAGAGACAGTCTGATCCTTTATAAAAAATTTGCTTTGACTTAATAAATATAATTGTAACATAAGTATATTATTTGTCAACATCATTCTTTTATACACACACACACACACACGCACACACACATACACACAGATTAAGCTTCACAAATCATATGTTATATTCACTGAGGCTTTCAGCATACTTACCCCCTAAAAGCGGAGTTCAAATTTAAATGTACCATATGTAAATATGCTGCTAATATATTTAATACTATGGTTCCTTTTGCACTTGGATTTATGTTTTTACTTTCCATTACTGTCCCAGTAAGAGCCCTGCTAATGCAGTTGAAAAAGCTAGTACAGGTGTAAAACTTACAGTGAAAAATAGACCATTATAATTATGCTATTTAATTGGATCCAAGGTTTAATATTTTTACTGGGCTTGTTTTAGTAATAACTACTTCGATTTAAGGCTCCTAGTAGTCACTTCTTCTAATAAAATATTTAAAATAAGTTATTAAACTTTGTTTAATATATATCTTTCCTTTAGGTAAAAATATAGGATAATTTATTGTTCTTTTATGACATATATATATTTTTAACCTTACCCGAGAACACTTTTCTTCATTTTACTTTTTTAAAGAAAGAGAGGAAGGGAGAGAGAAAGATTAATGCGAGAGAAGCAATGATTGGTTGCCTTCAAATGCACCCAGACCGGAGATCTGTGCCAGGACCGGGAATTGTACGTGTCTGGACTGGGGATTGCTCTCATCTGCACCCAGACTGGACATGAACCTGCAATCTAGATATGCTCCTACCAGGAATCAAACCTGCAGCCCTTCCTTTCCGTTACTGGACGATGCTCCAACCACTGAGCCACACTGGTCAGGATTCTTTTATAATATGTTTAAGTAGTAAAAAGAATTGTGGAATCAAGCACAAACAGTTTAAACCATTCTTCTACCACATAAAAGACCTTGGGCAGTAAAACTAAGGTAATGATTGTATAGGCAGATTAAAAATAAGAAACTAGCTAAGAAAATTAAAAGTAACAATAAGATTCAAAAATAAATAGTAAGGACCACATCATTTCCTTAATAGAATTGCCCAAGACTCCAGCTTTATCAGGTGCTTGAAACATTACTGAATAATTGGGAAAATGTGTACATTCCCAAGGCAAGTGCCCATGTCGGTAAGTGGAAGTTTGCTATTATAGACCTAGCATGTGCAGCTGTGGCCCCCTGGAACTCTGCATGCTGTAATGGTGTTCACAGGGTACAAGTGACTTATTATCTAAACTTAAACCCTTTAATACACCTGTCAAGATGTGGTGGGTTCCAACACTGGTTAAGGAAAAACATGAGGCTTTCAGCCAACATGGCTGAGTAGGTAACCTCAGTATTAGTATACTCCCGCAACTACATCAAAATTACAACTAAACTATAAACAACTATCATTGGGAAATACCTGAAATCTAACTGAACAGAAGTCCTATAACTAAGGTTATACAAAAGCCACATTTGAGCCTGGTAGGAGGGGTGGAGACAAGGAAAGGGCAAATTACACACCAGCATGTAGCAGTTAAAAATAGGGAGGGAGCCCTGGCCTGTGTGGCTCCGTTGGTTAGAGTGTCATTCCATACGCTGAATCACCATGGCTCAGTTCCCGCTCTGAGCACATACCTGAGTTGTGGGTTTGATCCACAGTCAGTGTGCCTACAAGAGGCAACCACCTGACTGGCGTTTCTCTCTCACATCGATGTTCCTATCTCTCTCCCTTCCTATCTTTCTATAAAACAATGAAAAAATGTCCTCGGGTGAGAGAAAAAAGAGGGGAGGGATATTTCTGCTGCAGATGTTCCCCACGAGGCTCCCAGAGTCCAGCTCTGCACCTCTGGAATTAGTGGCAGTCAGCCTTGGTTCGCAGCTTGGCCTCTCCCAGACACCTCCAAACCCAGCCCAAGTGGCAGCCCTCTGCAGCTCACTTTGTAGCTCATGTCAGTTGGCCCAGGCAGGGCACAGGCAGTGGCTAACCTTGGTCTGTACCTCCTGGGAAGCCCCTGAGCCAGTGCACCTAGTGGATAGCTTCAAATTACTGGAACTCCACTCAACCTCCTCAACCAGCAACATATTCAAAGGGCTGACTCAGCTGGCACCAGAGCCCTGCTGAAAGTGAGTTCTGGTCTGTGTGGTGGACCCTGCACAGCAGCTCCTCCACTGTAGTCACAGCTGATCCTTGCAGATGAATGTCCTGTGAGTCATTTCCTTCCACTGGTATGCTAACAGCAATCAAGGCTCCACTACACCAGATGGGTACACACAGTGCACAAAGGAGGCGTGCACCTGGAGTCCCCCACTCAGGTGACCAGGGAGGTTGCTCCACTGGGCTCCATAGGACACCTACTGCAGAAGGCCACTTTACTAAGACTGGGAGATGTAGCAGCTCTGCTTAATACATAGAAAAAAAACAGAGGCAGCCAAAATGAAGAAACAAAACAACATGTCCCAAATGAAAGAAAAGGACTGATCTCCAGAAAAGAAACAAAATGGAATCAAGCAATTTACCAGGTGCAGAGTTCAAAACACTGGTTATAAAGATACTCAATGAACTTAGAGGAAGAACAGATCAACTCAGAACTTCAACAAAGAGATAGGAAACAAAAATGAAGATTAAAAAAACATTAAAAAAAGGGCCAGTCAGAAATGAAGAATACAATAACTGAAATGAAGAATACACTAGAAGGAATCAACAGATTAGGTGGAGCACAGGATCAAACTGGTGATTTGGAAGATAAAGTAGCAGAAAATACCCAATCAGAATAGCAAAAGGAATCCAAAAAAATGAAAACAGTTTAAGGGGCCTCTGGGACAACATCAAATGTACCAACATTTGCATCATGGAAGTGCTTGAAGAAGAGGAGAGAGAACAAAGAATTGAAAACCTATTGGAAAAAACAATGAAAGAAAAGTTCCCAAACTTGACCAAGGACATAAGACACACAAGTCCAGAAAGTGCAGAGAATCCCAAACAAGATCAACCCAGAGGCCCACACCAAGACACATCATAATTAAAATGCCAAAGGTTAACAACACAGGATCAAAAGAGGATTAAAAAGCAGCAAGAGAAAATCAGTTGGTTACCTACAAAGGAGCTCCGTTAAGACTGTCAGCTGATATATCAACATAAACTTTGCAGGCCAGATGGGTTTGGCAAAAAATATTCAACATGATAAAAACCAAGGACCTACAACCAAGATTACTTTACCCAGCAACCCTATCATTTAGAATCAAAGGACAGATAAAGAGCTTCCCAGATAAGAAAAAGCTAGAGTTTATTGCCACCAATCCAATATTACAAAAAATGTTAAAGGGTCTTTTGTTTTTTTCTTTAAAGATTTTATTTATTCATTTCTAGAGAGAGAGGAAAGAAGGGAGAAAGAGAGGGAAACACTGATTCCCTCCACTACATGTTAAACAAATTTTTAAAAAACATGTTTGAAAAGGTACCTTGGTGTACCTCTGTCAGAATTAAGTTTCATGCATAGCAAACGTAAAAGATGTTTAATTAGTGATCACTATTTGAATCCTAAGTACTCAGCTACTTAGAATATTTGTCTTAATTTTGAATTTGAGAAATCATCACTATATAAAACCTTGCCATATTCTCCAAACCATCTTGAAGTACATTCAGGTGTCATCACTTTGCCAGAAAGAACCATCTTAATCTTAGCGAAATACAAATGTACTTAGAGTCTAGAAGTTTGTGCAAACATACTGTTACCACCAAGTCTCCTCTCGATTAATACTAAGCCAGTTTGGATGTGTCATAACTGTGGGCAAGGCAATTTTTGAAGGTGGGAAATTAAATAGTAGGCTAATGATCCAGCCAACCTGAATTCAAGATGTGTTTTAGAGGTAGAATCAATGGTACCTACTGATGGATGGGAAGAGGAGGGTGAGAGGATGGGAAGAACCAAGTCTGGCATCTAACTTCTGACTTGAGCAACTGGGCCAGTTTTCCCACACCCTGTAAAGGGGGAATGAGGGACAGGATTGGTCGACACATTAAGTCTGACACATCTGTTAGGCATCCAAGTAATTCAAGAAACCAGGTAGATTTCTAGGTAAAAAATGGTAGATTCAATAAATGCAGCTACTTACTTTTTTGAAATATGGCTAAAAAAGGTACAGGTTTTTTTGTTGTTCTGGTTTGGTTTTTGTTTTGTTTTTCTGGGTAGCGTTTTTTAAGGTATATACTGATGTTGGGGTTTTATGTCCAGAC